TTAGCAGGAGAGGAGAGCCAGAGAAGTGATAGGGAAGCTACAGATTACAACAGATTTGTGAACTCAGCCAAGCACAGTGGTGGCAGGGCCTCGCTGCTACAAAGAAGACATGTTTTAGACAATACTCATGTGTATGGGCAAAAAACTCAAGGACTGTATTTGTGACTAATTGTATAATAGGTTATTTTAGTTTCTGTTCTGTGGAAAGTGTAAAGCATTCCAACAAAGGATTTTAATGTAGATTTTTTTTTTTTTTTGCACCCATGCTGTTGATTGCTAAATGTAATAGTCTGATCATGATGCTGAATAAATGTGTCTTTTTTAAAATGTGCTGTGTAAAGTTAATCTACTCTGAAGCCATCTTGGTATACTACCCCAACAGTGTGAAGGTAGAATTCCTTCAGGGTGATACCAGGTTCCATTCAAAATTGATTTGCAACCCACTTGGGCACAGAAGCCATTGTCTCCACAAACCTTGGTGTAGTTGAACTGACAGTTAATGTGTTGTGACCTGGAGTTCACCATTAAAAAGCTCACTCAAGCAAAGTCCTGGAGTTTATTTGGTTATTAATATGATTGTTGGCACATCCTATGCAATATATCTAAATTGAATTATGGTATCAGATAAAATTATAGGTGGGATTAAAGCTTGTGTATCTTCCAAAAAAAAAAAAATACTACAGGGAGTTCATCAAATTCAATGAAAGGACACTAACTCATGAAAATATTTAAAGTACAAAACTCACTGGTAAATGTAAATATATACTCAAATTCAGAATACCCTAATACTGTAATGGTGGCAAAATACTTTTATCTCTAGTACAAAAGTTAAAAGAAAATAGTCTTATAAAGTAAATATTGTTACAATGATTTGTTAAAGGATGCACAACATAAAAAGATGCAAAGTGTGATATTAATAGAACAAAATGTGGGGGAATTAAATAAGAATTAAAAATGTAGAGCTTTAGTATGTGATTGAAGATAGGTTATTATCAGATTAAAATAGACCATTATGTGATGGGGATTAAGGATTGCACTTGTGATGAGCACCAGGTGTTGTATGGAAGCGTTGAATCACTATGTTGTATGCCTGAAACTAACATTACACTGTATGTTAACTAATTGGGAATTTAATTAAAAACTTTAAAAAAATAAAAATACCTTACAATCCAACAATTGCACTATACTGGGTATTTACCCCAAGAATATAAAAACACTAATTCAAAGGGATACATGCACCCCTATGTTTATAGCAGCATTATTTACAATAGCCAAGATATGGAAGCAGCCTAAGTGTCCATTTATTGATGAGTGGATAAAGAATATGTGGCATATATATATATGCAATAGAATATTATTCAACCATAAAAAAATGAAATATTGTCTTTGCAATGACAAGGATGGAGCTAGAGTGTAATGCTAAGCAAAATAAGTCAGATAGAGAAAGACAAATATCATATGATTTCACTCATATGTGGACCTTAAGAAATAAAACAAGCAAAGGTTAAAAAAAAAGGTGAGAGAAAGAAGGGAGAGAATCAAATCAAGAAATAGACTTTTAATTATGAAGAACTGATGGTTACCAGAGGGGAGTTGGGTGGGGCAATGGGTTAAATATGTGATGGAAATTAAGGAGTGCACTTATTGTGATGACCACAGAGTGATGTATGGAACTATCAGAATACTGAATTATTACATTGTATACCTAAAACTAATATAGCACCATATGTTAACTAACTAGAATTAAAATAAAGACTTAAAAAATAGGCTATTATATCTATAAAATGTTTTATATAAGCCTTGTGACAATCAAAAAGAAGAAACCTACAGTAGACACACAAAAGGTAAAGAGAAACAAATTAAAGCACACCACTACAAAAAATAAATCACAAAGGAAGACAGCAAGAGAGGATTAAAGGGAAAAAAAAACTAAAACAAACAAAAAACCCAGAAAATGATAAACAAAATGGCAATAGAAAGTTCTTAACTATCAATAATTACTTTAAGTGTAAATGATTTTCTCTAACCAAAAGACACAGAGTGGAAAATGGATAAAAAGCAAAATCCAACAATAAACTGGCTACAAGAAACTCAATTTACCTTTAAGGACATTCATAGGCTGAAAATAAAGGGAAGAAAAAAATATATTCCATGCAAATGGTAACCAAAAGACATCAGGGTTTGCTATACTTAAATCAGATAAAATAGACTTCCAATCAAATCAGACATACACACACACACACACACACACACACACAAAGAAAGTGAAGAGAATATAACACTTGTAACTATATATGCACCAAATATTGGAGTGCCTAAAATTTTAACTAAATATTGACAGACTGAAGGGATAAATAGACAGCAATTCAGTAATAGTAGAGGACTTCAATACCCTACCATTAACATTGGATAGATCAATCAGAAAGAAAATTAGGAAGAAAATATCAGGCCTGAATAAAACTATAGACCAAAATGGACCTTAAAGACATATATAGAACATTATGTCCAACAGAACAAAATACACATTCTTCTCAAGCACACATGGAACATTCTCCAGGATAAAACATATGTTGGTCCGCAAAGCAAGTCTTATGAAATTTAAAGGAATTGAAATAATATTTCATGTCTTTTCCATACACAATGGTATGACACCTCAGGAAAAAAACTGAAAAATTCACAAAACATGCAATTTAACACCATACACCTGAAAAACCAATGGACCAAAGAAGAGAAAAAAGGAAATCAGAAAAGTGTCTTAAAATAAATAAAAATAAAAACAAAAAAACAACATACCAAAACATAGGGACATAGGAAAAGCAGTTCTAAGAGGTGAGTTTACAGCAATAAAGGCCTACATTAAAAAAATCTCAAATAACCTAACTTTATCCCTAAAGGAATTAAAAAAGGAAAACAAACTAAGCCCCAACTTAGTAGAAGGAAAGAAATAACAAAGATCAGAGCAGAAATAAATGAAATAGAGACCAAACAGACAATAGGGAAAAAAATCAATTAAACCAAGAGTTGGGTTTTGAAAAGATAAACAAAATGGCAAACCTTTAGCTAGACTAACTAAGAAAAAGAGACAGGACTCAATAAAATAAAATTATGAAAGAAAGAGGAGACACTAAAATTGATACCATAGAAATATGGAGTATCATAAAAGGTTACTATAACAATTATCCACCTACAAACTGAATAACACTTTAGAAGAAATGGCTAAATTCCTAGAAACAGACAACTTAGCAAGACTGAATCATGAAGAAATGGAAAACCTGAACAAACCAAACACAAGTAAATAGACTGAATTTGTCATCAAAGCTCCTAACAAAGAAAAGACCAGAAGTAGATGGTTTCACAGGTGAATTCTATGAAATATTTAAAGAATTAATGCTAATCTTTCCCAACTCTCCCAAAAATTAAAAAGGAGGGAACACTCCCAAACTCATTTTACAATGCCCACTTTACCCTGATGCCAAAGACAAATAAGGGAAGAAACAAAAGAAATTTACAGGCCAATATCCCTGATGAATATAGATGCAAACATTCTCAACAAAATACTAACACACCAAATTCAACAATCCATTAAAAGTATCATATACCATGATCAAGTGAGATTTATGCCTGGATGGAAGGATGATTCAAAACACAGGAATCAATAAACATAATATACCCCATTAATATAAATAGGGGTAAAATTCATGTAATCCTCTAAAGTGATGCAGAAAAGACATCTGACAAAATTCGACACACTTTTATGACAAAAGCTCTCAACAGTTTGGGTATAGAACAAACATATATCAATATAATAAAAGTTATATATGACAAGTTTGAACAATTTTCAATAGTGAAAAGCTGAAATCTTTACCTGTCAGATCAAAAACAAGACAAAGTCGTCCATTCTTACCACTCGTGTTTAACATAGTACTAGAAGTCCTAGCCAGAGCAATTAGGCAAGAGAAAAGAATTAAAAGGCATCCAAATCAGAAAGGAATAAATAAAACTGTGGGGGAAATGGAAAGATGTTGGTCAAGGATACAAATTTTCAGCCATAAAATGAATCAGTCTGGAGATCTAATTATGGCATGGTGACTAAAGTTAATAATATACTGTATACTTGGAAGTTTCTTACTAAATGTTGAATGTTCTTGCTATGTAATGAGGTGTATGCATTAACCTTCTTGTAATCACTTCACAATATATACTTATATGAAATCATGACATTGTACACCTTAAACTTACACAATGTTATATGTCAATTATATCTCAATAAAGTTTGGGGAAAAGTTTTAAAGATAAAAGCATACTCTTACTCCAATCTTATGGACTTCTGCCATTTACCTTGTTCAGGAGTTTCTTTTTTCTTTAGGATTCCAGTTAATTGTTCTGGGTATAGGGCAATTATTCAGGAATTCTTTAGATACTTTCAATAAAGAGGGATTGGTTGATTGTAACAATAACTGAATCGCAAAGGAACAGCAGACTTTACCAGAAGACAGTGAAGAGAATTTAGTTAACAAAAACAAACAAACAAACAAAAAACTAAACTAACTTCTTGACCCCATGTGATGTATAGTGTTAGAAAATAAGACCTGGGTGTTACATGCAACTGATGAATTACTGAACTCTACATCTGAAACTAATAATATATTACACGTAGACTAATTGAATTTAAATTTAAAAAAAAAAGAAAAGAAGACCTTAAGAGGGTTGCTTCAGGTGTATGTTGATTGCAGAAATATCTCAATGGATACAAGAAAGATTTGTAATAAGATATAAAGATGGGAATTCAAGTCAGGAGAGAAGAATCATCAGGCATTATGTACATGACAGTCCTGGAAATAAGAGATTACTGACTGGACTGAAGTGTAAGAGGGGTCCAATGTGCTTCGATATAATACAATGCAAAGGGCTGATAGGGTATTGACATGCTTCTCATCTCTTTGAAACAAGTATTTCAAGAAATTTAATGCTGAGCTACTATAAAATAGATTGCCTCTTACCTTGCAATCTAGTGTGCAGCATTCTCCAGAACCACATTGTTTACCCTTTTTCATTACACATATTCTAGGATCACAGCAGTCTTTATGTGTACAATTCTGTAAACAAATAGACAAATTCAAATGATCTCTTCTCTCACATCAGTTATGATAATGTCTTTTAAGAAACTTGCCAATTTCATCTAAATTGCCAAATTCATTTACATAAAGTAGTTTTTAATATTCCTTATTTTAAAAATATGTAGGATGTGTAGTAAGTAATGGACCCTCCTTCAATCCTGATACTGGGAATTTCTTTTTTCTTTCATTTCTCCACCAGCACAGCAAGAGGTTTATCAAGTATATTGATTATTTTCAAAGCCCTGACTTTCATTTTCATTGATTTTCATTCTCTGATTTCTATCTCATTAATTTCTACTTTTATCTTTATCATTATTTCCTTCTTTTTACTTTAGATAAATTAGACTAATATTTTAGCTACCTTAAGTAGCATTCTAAATAATGTATTTTAGACCTTTCTTCTTCAATATAAGCATTTATAGCTAGAGATTTTCCTTGTAACACTGTTATACCTGAATCCCATTGATTTTGATGTTATGTTTAAATTTGCATACTGTTAAAAATATATCCTAAAATTGCTTTTGTAATTTTTCTTTGAGCTAAGCGTCATTTAGAAGTGGTAGTTTAATTTCCAAATATTTAGGGGCTTTTCAAGATATTATTCTTGAATTCTAATTTAATTTTCAACACAAAATAAATATATTGAGATTATTTCATGCCTCAAATATTCTATCCTGATGAATATTCCAAGTTCTATTGAATTATTATATTTAAGCTGTTAAGTATAGTGGCCTATAAATATCATCATATTAAGGTGATAGGTAGTTTTGTTCAGGTCTTCTATATCCTTACTGATTTTTCGTCTAGTTGTTCTATCACTTACTGAGAGATGTGAAATAAATCTCCAAATATGATAGTAGATTTGTCAGTTTCTCCCTTTAGTTCTGCCAGTGATTGCTTCATAAAATTTGAAGATTTAATGTGTGTGTATATATATGTAAATGTTTTTTATAAATGTTTATATATTTATTATTGTTATATCCTCCTTCTGTATTTATCCCTTTTTTCATTTTGAAGCATTACTGTATCTTTATTTTATATATTATTAATATTAATATATTAATTAGTCACTATATTAATATTATTGAATTTAAATTTAAAAAAAAAAGAAAAGAAGACCTTAAGAGGTCTTTATATATTAATATAGTCACTATAGCTCCTTGTATTTACTGTTTGCTTGTTCTATCCTTTTCCATTGTATTATTTTCTATGATACAGAGTATTGGGGTTAAAATGAATCCCTTATTGATAGCATGCAATTATTTCTTGATTTTTATCTAGTCTGACAACTTTTGCCTTCTGATAGAGTGTCTGGCCTATTTACATTTAATGTAATTATTAACATGAATGTATTTCAATTTCTAATTTTGCTGTTTGTTTCTATTTATCTCATCTTGTTTTTGTTCCTCAATTCTTCCCTTCTTATTTTGTATTGATGAAATGTGTTTAATATTTACCTAGTAAATCTTCTATTGGCTTTTTAGCTATATCTCTGAATAATTTTTCAATATTTGCTCTAAGACATACAGTATTTTTTTCATGGATTTTTTTAAATTTTTTATTGTTATGTTAATCACCATACATTACATCATTAGTTTTTGATGTAGTGTTCCATGAGTCATTGTTTGTGTATAACACCCAGTGCTCCACACAGAATGTGCCCTCTTTAATAGCCATCACCAGGCTAACCC